TGAGCGGTTGGGGTCTCATAACAATGTATGTTAAAAAAAAAATTCTGTATGGGAGACTAATTTGAAATGTAAACTTCATTTAATTACATCAATTCAAAAAAAAAAAAAAAAAAGAAGAAGAAGCTTGGTGCCACTGAACTCAGGTCTCCATCTAGGACTCCTGATGTAACCGGCAAAGCATGAGTTAGCAGCCTGAGCTCTTAAGCACTGCACCGCCGGGGCTTCTGTTAAAGCATAAGTAGGTAGAACCCTCAGGTAGGAAAAAAAAAAAAAAACAACAGAAAAAAAACACCTTCACAGCAACACCCAGATTAGTGTTTGATTAAACCCCTGGGCACTTTAGCTGAGCCACGTTGACATATTAAAGTAAGCATCACAGGGTGATACAGAGAGAGGAAAGCTGGCCAAGAGCTAGAGTAAGGGAGAGGTCGTGAATTTGATTTTGAACCTGGCAGTAGGTTGAAGGATTTGGCAACACATCCAAAGAAAACTTCCAGCACACAGATGTATGACTCTGTTCGGACAGGAGAGTGAGCCTGCATTTCCAGATTTGAGGATTCACTGTTAACATTTTGGGGAGCAGCTCTTGCTAGGCACTGTGCTAGACACTTTGCATACATTCTTGCTGATGATATTGATCTTTATTTTTTAATATTTATTTTATTCTTGGTGAAAACATACATAACAGATCATATACCCATTTAACAATTTCTACATGCACAGTTCTGTGACATTGGTTACATTCTACACGTTGTGTCACCCTTCTTGCTATCTCTCCCCGTATTGTTTCACCACCATTGATTTAGACTCATTGCCCCATAAACTACTCATCTATGCTTTAGAGTTATTGTTGTCAAGATCTTATTTTTCTAAATTGCAAAATATATCATGTACACAGAAAAAGCATTACACATGTTCAGTTTAGCAAATTAAACACCCATGCATCTAACACCCAGATTAAGACTGGGGGAAAATTAGCTGGAGGAACAGTAGTCACACAAATATGTTTTTAAAAACCTGGGCACCCCCAGAGTAATTGTCAGGGTAATCATTTCACCATGCACAGAGCTGTGCCTTCATGAAAAGATATGAGCAACTGAAACCCTGTTTGCATCTCCGTGCGGATAATTGGATTTCACTGGCTTACATTTCTTGGCGAGGCTCCCCTGCAGTCCTGACACCAAGGAGTCTCCTGAGCTAGCAAACAAAGGCTTGTGCTGCAGCAATCCCTGAGCAATTTCCAGCTTTGAAGGAGGGAGTGTGAGTGGCTGCAACCTTTTAGGAATGTAATCTGGCAATAGCTATTAAAATCCCCAACGCGTGTGCCTTCTGACCAGGTGGGCATACTTGGGGGACTGTTGTCTATAGGAGTAAAAACCGAAGGACAAGAAGATATGACTGTGGGACGCTATTTACAGTAGCATTGTCTGTAATGGGGAAAGCTGGGATGACTGGAGAGGCATCTGTGCATTTTTCTGGATGTATATTTCAAGAAAAAATTTGTTGTTGTTGTTGGGTGCAGTCGAGTTGGTTCCGACTGATAGCAACTCTACATACAACAAAATGAAACCCTGCCTGGTCCTGCTCCATCCTCAAACAATCGTTATGCTTGAGCCCATTTTTTTTTTTTTTTAATATTTTATTGTACTTCAGGTGAAGGCTTACAGAACAGATAGTTTCTCATGTAACAGTAACACACATGCTGTTTTATGACATTGGTTAACAACCCCACAACATTTTAACCCTCTAAATTCTCAACTCTTTTTTTTTTTTTTTTTGTGAAAATACACATAGCCAAAGATACGCCGTTTCAAAAGTTTTTTTTTACATACACATTTAAGTGACATTGACTACGCTCTTCTAATTGTGCTGTTATTCTCACTTAAGATGAAGGCTTACAGGATAAAATAGTCTCCCATTTAACAGTTACTACAAATGTTGCCCTATGACAATGGTTAACAATCTCACAACACATCAACAATATCCTTACTCTACTTTGTGTTCCCTATCATCAGCTTCCAACTCCCCTTCTGCATTCTGGGCCTTGTCACTGGACTCCTGTACCTCGTTACTCTCATGGTTTTACTGGGCTGTCCACTCGCAGGCTGATCAGTGAACCTCGAAGGTAACTTTACCACTGAGCTAAAAGGGTGTCTGGGGGCCATACTCTCAGGGTTTCTCCAGTCTCCTTTAGGCCAGTAAATCTGGTTTTTTTTTTTGTGAGTTAGAATTATGCTCTACATCCTTCTCCAGCTCTGTCCAGAACCCTCTGTTGTGATCCTGGTCAGAGCAGGCTTGAGCCCATTTTTGCAGCCGCTGTGTCAACATCTAGTCGAGGGTCTTCCTCTTTTTCACTGACCCTTTTACTTTACCAAGCATGATGTCCTTCTCCAAGGTCTGGCCCCTCCTGATAACATGTCCAAAGTATGTGAGACATAGTCTCGCTATCCTTGCCTCTAAGGAGCATTCTGGTTGTACTTCTTCTGAGACAGATTTGTTCATTCTTTGGGCAGTCCATGGTATATTCAATATTCTTTGCTAACACCATAATTAAATTCTTCTTTGGTCTTCCTTATTCACTGTCCAGCTTTGGCATGCATATGAGGTGATTGAAAATAACATGGCTTGGGTCAGGCGCACCATAGTCTTTGTCATGGTTTGCATTATGTCCCCCCAAAAATGTGTGTATCAATTTGGCTAGGCCATGATTCCTGATACTGTGTGATTTTCCGGTATGTTGTAAACCTGCCTCTATGATGTTAATGAGGGAGGATGGGTGGCAGTTGTGTTAGTAAGGCAGGACTGCATCTACAAGACTGGATTGTGTCCTGAGGCAATCTCTTGAGATATAAAAGAGAGAAGTGAGCAGAGAGACAGGGGGACCTCATACCATCAAGAAAGCAGTGCTAGGAGCAGAGTATCCTTTGGACCAGGGTCCTTGTGCGGGGAAGCTCCTAGTCTGGGGGAACACTGATGAGAAGGCCGAGAGAGAGAAAGCCTTCCCCTGGAGCTGACGCCCTGAATTTGGACTTTTAGCCTACTTTAACTGTGAGGAAATAAACTTCTCTTCGTTAAAACCAACCACTTGTGGTATTTCTATTATGGCAGCACTAGATAACTAAGACAGTCTTCAAGGTGACATCTTTGCTTTTAAACACTTTAAAGAGGTCTTTCACAGCAGATTTGCCCAGTGTACTGCATTGTTTGATTTCTTGACTGCTGCTTCTGTGGGTGTTGATTATGGATCCAAGTAAAATGAAATCCTTGACATATTCAATCTTTTCTCTGTTTATCATTATGTTGCTTATTGGTCCAGTTATGAGGATTTTTGTTTTCTTTATGTTGAGGTGCGATCCATACCGTAGGCTGTGGTCTTTGATCTTCATCAGTAAGTGCTTCAAGTCCTCTTCACTTTCAGCAAGAAAGGTTGTGTCATCTGCATAACGCAGGTTGTTAATAAGTATTCCTCCAATCCTGATGTCCCCTTCTTCTTCATATAGTCCAGCTTCTTGGATTATTTGCTGGGCATACAGATTGAATAAGTATGGTGAAAGGATACAACCCTGACGCACACCTTTCCGGACTTTAAATCACTCAGTATCCCCTTACTCTGTTAGAACAATTGCCTCTTGATCTATGTACAGGTTCCTCATCAGCACAATTAAGTGTTTTGGAATTTCCATTCTTCACAATGTTATCCATAATTTGCTATGATTCACACAGTAGAATGCCTTTGCATTGTCAATAAACCATAGGTAAACATCTTTCTGGTATTCTCTGCTTTCAGCCAAGATCTATCTGACCCATGAGCAATGATGTACCTCGTTCTATGTCCCCTTCTGAATCTGGCTTGAATTTCTGGCAGTCCCATGTTGATATACTGCTGCAACTATCTTTGAATGATCTTCGGGAAAATTTTACTTGGGTGTGATATTAATGATATTGTTTGATAATTTCCACAGTCTGTTGGATCATCTTTCTTTGGAATGGGCACCTATATGGATCTCTTCCAGTCAATTGGCTAGGTAGCTTTCTTCCAATTTTCTTGGTATAGATGAGTAAGCACTTCCAGCGCTGCATCTGTTTCTTGAAACATCTCAGTTGGTATTCTGAAAGTTCCTGGAGCCTTGTTTTTCACCAATGCCTTCAGTGCAGCTTGGAAAAAGTTTAAAAAGTAACAAATTCCGTTATGAAACACACGTTTAAAAGGGGGTTGTGGGACACCCACCCTTCCCAGCAGAAACCCTTTTAGAGCAGCCTGTTTTCCTGCTAGGGGTGGGACACCGTTAGACCTGGCCTCAGACCCTGTGCTCACCCTTCTCTCCTCTCCTGTACCAGATATCATAGGCACAAAGGAGATGTGGGACAAGCAGCAGAAGAACCTTCTGGACACCCTAGCCCCTGACGTGCAGGAGGACTACGGTCAGGAGTATATTCTTGCCCTACAGGATTTTCTCCACCTCAGTAACATGCATAGCAGTGCGGACTTCTCCCCCATTCTCCTGGATGTCCAGCACACAGTTTCTGCAAAGAGCCCCTTTGCTCTGTACACACCAGGAAAAAGTTCTTACCTGTGGCTCTGCATTGCCTCCTTCTTTCCTGCTGTAGTGTTTGATTATCTTAGAAAGAGAGCACGTGGCTCTGGAAACATGCACAGAGCCATAAGCACGCCTGCCCAGGAGAATGAAACCATGTAGGCAGCAGTGGATTTTAGAAGAGTGGGAAATGTTACAGTTTTGGAATCAAAGTGAGACTATGAGCTTCTGATTAAAGTTGCTTTTTTCCTGCCTTGAATTCTCAGTGAACTTTATTCATTGGATAGGACTTAGTGGTGACAAGGCTGAAGAGTAGTAATGCCCACCATCGAGAGCACTAATTGAGTGTCTACTATGCACTGGGTACATTTCAAATGTCTTCGTCATCTAATTCTCATCAAAGACTTGAGAGAGGTATATTTACCCCCTATTTAATAGGTAAAGAAATTAAAAATCTGAGAGGTTAAGTTCCTAGTTCATTGTCACACAATGTCTTAGGCTGGGTTCTCTAGAGAAGCAAAACCAGTAAAGCATATAAATATATATATAGAGAGATTTATATCAAAGAAATGGCTCACAAAGTTGCAGAGGCTGGAACGTCCCAAGTCCATGGGTCAGGATAACGGCTGGTCAGGATAACGGCTTCTCCTGATGCACGTAGTCACAGGGGCTGGCGAACCCCAGATTGGCAGGTTGGAGAGCACGGCTCTTGCTCACAGGATGTGAAGATCAATGAATCCCAAAGATCGGCAGGCAAGACTGCAGGTAAGCTGCTAGCTCAAGTCCCAAGAACTGGAAGTCAGATGAACAGGAGCCAGCTGCAAGATCCAGAATGAGCAAAAGCCCACAAGCCTTGCCAGAATGTCCACTTATATTCAATACAGGCCACACACCCAAGGAAACTCCCTTTCAACTAACTGGCCACTCACAGCAGACCCCATCATGGTGGTGATCACGTAATATCAAACCTTATCATGGAAGTGATCACACCATCACATGACTATCAAACCACTTAGAATCATGGCCCAGCCAAGCTGACACACAAACCTAACCATCACACACAGCTAGCAATAGGCAGAGCTAGAATTCAAATTCAGGTTGGTTTCTACCGCCTTTCAGGAGAGAAGAGGAAAAGGAGAGAGCAGAAAGGGAGAAAAATAGAAAGAAAGGGAAGAACAATAGTCAAATAGATCCCCAATGTCCTTTTCACTTTGCAATGATAGTAACCAGTACAGCAGATTCTCACTAATTGCAGTAGTTATGGTCTATAAAGTCCCTGCAAACACTGAATTAGTGAATATTGAAACATTGCTCCTAGGGGAAATACAGAGTTAGGTTTCTGTGAGCCTCTGGTCACAACATTTTCATCAGCCACGCAGTGTATAACCTTATTTTATGTGTGCTTCTGTTTAAAGACGCCTTACTGAATAAACATAATTGATTCATTAACATTGAACTCCTGGACAACAGTGCTACAACTCATGCCTGAACGAAGCTTATCTAACACATGCATTTTCTCTGTCACATCATAGCCTTCTTGTGCTTAGGAACACTAGACAACACTTCAGCATAATGTGTGGGAGCCATTTTAGACAGCAAAATCACCAGCAAAAAGCACAAAAATGTAAAAAATGTGGCCTTAAATATACTGTGAAAGGGACACTTGTTTGCAGTATGAGAGCCGAAATAATTATGCCTGTTCCACCTCAGCTGGGAACATGCGTGTCGAGCACCCCAAATTTTCACCACTCTACACACATCCATGAATGACCACGAAAGTGCTGCAAGTATTGATTTGGGGGTTACAAAATAAATTTTAGCAAGTAGGTGAATTCACAAATGCAGAATTGCAAATAATGGGACTTCACTGCACATTCAAGGTTTCTGATTCAATATAGGTGATCAGAGCTCTTTGTGCTTCCTCCCTCTCCATCCTCTATCTGTCTGGAGATGATGGAATGAGGTGGCCCATTTCAAGCACTGCCCCAGAGGCCAGTTGGCACCCGGCTGGGTGGTTTCATATCTATAGCAACCATCACTTCAACCTCCATCTATCTGAGCATCCCAAGATGGCAAAGCCAGCATTATTACCTAGAGGAGTCTGACCAAAAGGAACAAAGTCAGACACTAATAGATGTGTGGCCTAGTTCAGCTGGGAAAGGTAAAAAGGGCGGAACTGGAGAAGAGAAGGGGCATAAGGGAACCAGAAAAAATATCCACTTGGCGTGAGGGAAGTGGGTCCAGAGACCATGCTACTTTAAAACCTCCCCTTATTCCATTTCCTTTCTAGAAGATGGAGGCTTTTTTTTCTATTTTCCAACCTCATGGATATTTTGTGAAAGTAGATAAAATGACAATGCTCTGTGATTTTCCTCCAAAGAAAACAAATAACAATAGAGTGGGATAAATACTCATGGAATAGTTACATGATACGTTTTTAACGGCTAGCCATGATGATTTCCCAGTGCTTCTCCACCACTGCTTCAGGGGAGAACAGAAAGAAAAAAAAAAAAAAAAAATCAAGTGTAAGTGTTCATTTCCAAAATGGGCACTTTTCAGTGATAAGAGCTGTCAAAGCCGAAACTTTCATTTGCATGATTCAGGTGTTGCTGAGAGAACAAAGGATGTGAGTAACCTACAATAAAGGCCACCGGCTGGCTGCAGAAAAGACCATCAGTTACTCAAATGCAAGTTCAAGTTGAAGCTGAAGAAAATTAGAACACATCCATAAGAGCCAATGTACGACCTTGAGTATATTCCACCTGAATTTAGAGACCATCTCAAGAATAGATTCAACATATTGAACACTAATGACCAAAGACAAGATGAGTTGTATGGGATGACATCAAGGACATCATATACGAAGAAAGCAAAAGGTCACTAAAAAAACAGGAAAGAAAGAAAAGACCAAAATGGATGTCAAAACGGACACTGAAACTTGCTCTTGAATGCAGAGTAGCTAAAGCGAATGGAAGAAATGATGACGTAAAAGAGCTGAATGGAAGAATTCAAAGAGGGGCTCAAGAAGACAAGGTAAAGTATTATAATGAAATGTGCAAAGACCTAGAGTTAGAAATCCAAAAGGGAAGAACACTCTGCATTTCTCAAGCTGAAAGAACTGAAGAAAAAATTCAAGCCTCAAGATTTTATGGGCAAAATATTGAATGACACAGGAAGTATCAAAAGAACAGGGAAAGAATACACAGAGTCACTGTAACAAAAAGATTCAGTCAATGTTCAACCATTTCAGGAGGTAGCGTATGATCAAGAACTGACTGTACTGAATGAAGAAGTCCAAGCTGCACTGAAGGCATTGGCAAAAAAGAAGTCTCCAGGAACTGAAAGAATACCAACTGAAAAGTTTCAACAAATAGATGCAACTCTGGAAGCACTCACTCATCTATGTCAAGAAATTTGGAAGACAGTTACCTGGCCAACTGACTGGAAGTGATCCATATTTGTGCCCATTACAAAGAAAGGTGACCCAACAGACTGTGGAAATTACCAAATAATATCATGAATATCACATGCAAGTAAAATCTCGCTGAAGATAATTAAAAAACAGTTGCAGCAGTACATTGACAGGGAACTGCCAGAAATTCAAGCTGGATTCAGAAGAGGATGAGGGATATTATTGCTGATGTCAGATGGATTTTGGCTGAAAGCAGAGAATACCAGAAAGATGTTTATCTTTTATTTTTGTTGACTGCAAAAGCATTTGACTGTCTGGATCATAACAAATTATGGATAACATTGTGAAGAATGGGAATTTCAGAACATTAATTGTATTCATGAGGAACCTCAACATAGATCAAGAAGCAGTCGTTTGAACAGAACAAATAATCTGAGAAGCTGAACTATAGGAAGAAGAATGGGGCATCAGGATTGGAGGAAGACTCATTAACAGCCTTTGATGTGCAGTCGACACAACTTTGCTCACTGAAAGCAAAGAGGACTGGAAGCACTTACTGATGAAGATCGAAGACCATAGACTTCAGTATGAATTACACCTCAACATAAAGAAAACAAAAGTCCTCACAACTGGACCAATAAGTAACATCATGATAAATCGAGAAAAGATTCAAGTTGTCAAGGATTTCATTTTACTTGTATCCACAATCAACGCCCATGGAAGCAGCAGTCAAGAAATCAAACAACACATTGCATTGGGCAAATCTGCTACAAAAGATGTCTTTAAAGTGTTAAAAAGCAAAGATGTCACTTTAAGGACTGTGGTGTGCCTGACCCAAGCCGTGGTATTTTCAATCGCCTCATATGCACATGGAAGCTGGACAATGAATAAGGAAGACCAAAGAAGAATTGATATCTTTGAATTATGGTGTTGGCGAAGAATATTGAATATACCATGGACTGCCAGAAGAATGAACAAATCTGTCTTGGAAAAAGAACAGCCAGAATGCTCCTTAGAAGCAAGAATGGCAAGACTTTGGACATGTTGTCAGGAGGGACCAGTCCCTAGAGAAGGACATCATACTTGGTAAAACAGAGGGTCAGTGAAAAAGAGGAAGACCTTCAGCAAAATGGATTGACGCAGTGGCTGCAACAATGGGCTCAAACATAGCAACAACTGAGGGGATGGCCCAGAACTGGGCAGTGTTTGGTTTTGTTGTACATAGGGTGCTAAGAGTTGGAATCGACTGGATGGCACCTAACAACACAATAACAACAATCCAAAGTCTGGAGGAGGACTGAGGATTTTGTGTTTTACTATAAACCATAAACTATAAACCAAGGGTTCTCAAAGTGGGATCCCTTGATTTCCAGCATCAGTATCACCTGGGAACTTGTTAGAAATGCAACTTCTCAGGCCCCACCCCAAACTTACTGTTTATTATTGCTGCTTTAACAAATTGTCATAAACTTAGTGACTTATACAACACAAATTTATTATCTTATTTTTCTGGAGGTCAGGAGTCCAAATGGGTCTTACAGAGCTAAAATCAAGGTGCCAACAGGGCTGCATTTCTTCTGGAGGCTCTAGGGGAGAAGCTGTTTCCTTGCCTTTTCTAGATTCTAGAAGCTGCCCTCATTCCTTGGCTCATGGTCACATCACTCTGATCTCTGCTTCCATGTCTGACCTCCTTTTCTGATTCTAATGCTCCTGCCTCCCTCTTACAAGGACCTTTGTGATTACATTGGGC